AAAGAAATATATATGATAAAGAGTTGGTCTTCAAGATATAAAAAGATGTTCTCCAACTTGATAAAGGACAAATAACCCAATTAAATATTAGTAAATATTTATGAGCAACTATATGCCAGCAAATTAGATAATCTGGAAGAAATGGATGCATTCCTAGAGATGTATCAACTACCAAAACTGAACCAGGAAGAAATAGAAAACCTGAACAGACTTATAACTGCTAAGGAAACTGAAGCAGTCATCAAAAATCTCCCGAAAAACAAAATCCCAGGGCCAGATGGCTTACCAAAGGAATTCTACCAAACATTTCAAGAAGAATTAATACCTATTCTTCTGAAACTGTTCCAAAACATAGAAATGGAAGGAAAACTTCCAAACTCGTTTTTTCAGACCACAATTACCTTGATCCCCAAACCAGACAAAGACCCCATCAAAAAAGAGAATTAAAGATCAACATCCCTGATGAACATGGATGCAAAAATTCTCACCAAAATACTAGCCAATAGGATCCAACAGTACTTAAAAGGATTATTCACCATGACCAAGTGGGATTTATCCCTGGGCTGCAAGGTTGGTTCAACATCCGCAAATCAATCAATGTGATACAATATATTAATAAAAGAAAGAACAAGAACCATATGTTCTCAATAGATGCAGAAAAAGCATTTGACAAAGTACAGCATCCTTTCTTGATCAAAACTCTTCAGAGTATAGGCATAGAGGGTACATACTCAATATCATAAAAGCCATCTATGAAAAACCCACAGCAAATATCATTCTCAGTGGGGTAAACTGAGAGCTTTCCCCCTAAGGTCAGGAACACAGCAGGGATGTCCACTATCACCACTGCTATTCAACATAGTATTAAAAGTCATAGCCACAGCAATCAGACAAAAAAAAAGAAATCAAAGGTATCCAAATCGGCAAAGAAGAAGTCAAACTCTCACTCTTTGCAGATGATATGATACTTTATGTGGAAAACCCCAAAGACTCCACCCCAAAACTGCTAGAACTCATACAGGAATTCAGTCAAGTGGCAGGATATAAAATCAATGCACAGGAATCAGTGGCATTCCTATACACCCACAACAAGACAGAGGAAAGAGAAATGAAGGAGTCGATCCCATTTACAATTGACCCAAAACCATAAGATACCTAGGAATACATCTAACCAAAGAGGCAAAGAATCTGTACTCAGAAAACTATAAAATATTCATGAAAGAAATTGAGGAAGACACAAAGAAATGGAAAAACGTGCCATGCTCATGGATTGGAAGAACAACTATTGGGAAGATGTCAATGCTACCTAGAGCAATCTACACATTCAATGCAATCCCCATCAAAATACCATCCACTTTTTTCAAAGAAATGGAACAAATAATCCTAAAATTTGTATGGAACCAGAAAAGACCTCAAATAGCCAGAGGAATGTTGAAAAAGAAAAGCAAAGCTGGAGGCATCACAATTCCGGACTTCAAGCTGTATTACAAAGCTGTCATCATCAAGACAGCATGGTACTGGCACAAAAACAGACACATAGATCAATGGAACAGAATAGAGAGCCCAGGAATGGACCTCAACTCTATGGTCAACTAATTTTCGACAAAGCAGGAAAGGATGTCCAATGGAACAAAGACAGTCTCTTCAACAAATGGTGTTGGGAAAATTGGACAGCCACATGCAGAAGAATGAAACTGGACCATTTCCTTACACCACACACAAAAATAGACTCCAAATGGTTGAAAGACCTCAATGTGAGACAGGAGTCCATCCAAATCCTAAAGGAGAACACAGGCAGCAACCTCTTTGACCTCAGCTGAAGCAACTTCTTCCTAGGCCAAACGCAAGGGAAGCAAGGGCAAAAATGAACTATTGGGACTTCATCAAGATAAAAAGCTTTTGCAAAGCAAAGGAAACAGTCAACAAAACCAAAAGACAACCGACAGAATGGGAGAAGATATTTGCAAATGACATCAGATAAAGGGCTAGTATCCAAAATCTATAAAGAACTCATCAAACTCAACACCCAAAGAACAAAGAATCCAATCAAGAAATGGGCAGAAGACACGAACAGACATTCTGCAAAGTATACATCCAAATGGCCAACAGACACATGAAAAAGTGCTCAACATCACTTGGCATCAGGGAAATCCAAATCAAAACCTCAATGAGATACCACCTCACACCAGTCAGAATGGCTAAAATTAACAAGTCAGGAAATGACAGTTGTTGGCGGGGATGCAGAGAAAGGGGAACCCTCCTACACTGTTGGTGGGAATGCAAGCTGGTGCAGCCACTCTGGAAAACAGTATGGAGATTCCTCAAAAAGTTGAAAATAGAGCTACCTTATGATCCAGCAATTGCACCACTGGGTATTTACACCAAAGATAGAAATGTAGGGACCTGAAGGGGTATGTGCACCCCGATGTTTATAGCAGCAATGTCCACAATAGCCAAACTGTGGAAAGAACCAAGATGTCCATCGACAGATGAATAGATAAAGAAGATGTGGCATATATATATGATGGAATATTATGCAGCCATCAAAAGGAATGAGATCTTGCCATTTGCAATGACATGGATGGAACTAGAGGGTGTTATGCTGAGCGAAATAAGTCAATCAGAGAAAGACATGTATCATATGACCTCAGTGATATGAGGAATTCTTAATCTCAGGAAACAAACGGAGGGTTGCTGGAGTGGTGGGGGGTGGGAGGGATGGGGTGGCTGGGTGATAGACATTGGGGAGGGTATGTGCTATGGTGAGCGCTGTGTATTCTGCAAGACTGTTGAATCTCAGATCTGTACCTCTGAAACAAATAATGCAATATATGTTAAGAAAAAAAAAGAAGAAGAAGATAGCAGGAGGGGAAGAATGAAGGGGGGGAAATCAGAGGGGGAGATCAACCATGAGAGACGATGGACTCTGAAAACAAACTGAGGGTGGTAGAGGGGAGAGGGCTGGGAGGATGGGTTAGCCTGGTGATGGGTATTAAAGAGGGCACGTTCTGCATGGAGCACTGGGTGTTATGCACAAACAATGAATCATGGAACACTACATCAAAAACTAATGATGTAATGTATGGTGATTAACATAACAATAAAAAATTTAAAAAATAAAAAAAAATTAATGAACATTCATATAAGGTTTGTCCATTTCATTGTATAAAAATTTTCATGAGAAGAAAAATGTAAATAAATATTAAATTCTAACAATATGCTTGTTAAAGTATGTGTGGAAAGTATACTGTCTGTAATGTAATTTGAAATGCATAAAAATAAGATGATGGATGGCTGGATGGATAGACAAAAATATATGATATAATAATGTTAATGGTCTAAGTGTCTATGTATATCTTGTTGGGATTATGGGTGTATATGTATATTAATGAGTATATGAATATTCACTATAAAATTCAACTTTCTCTTTGTATAAAATTTTGTATAATAAACTGTTGGTAAAAGTGAAACAGATACAACAGGTAAATAAAATACAATCATTTCTGTACTTATTTTGAAATAGCATATGTACAACTTTTGGTAAAGTAATTGGTTGTATAATACATTCTAAATTAATGTATCTTTTGCCTCATACATACATACATACAAATGTAACTTTTCACCTATTAATGGATTTACTATAGTGAAAACAAAGGTGACCCAATCACTGTTTCCACTGGATGAATAAAAATGAAACTCATAAGGTATGGAAAGAAGGGGTTACAGAAACAAGACAAAAATCTAAATTAACGAGATCAAGTTTCAGTTTGTTAATCATAAGATATGAAAACATCTGAATAAATAATATTCCCAGATTTGGGAGACTCCATGATATGCACTAAATTCACTTACTTCATGTTGCTGAGGGGACAAGGGTAATGTTGTCCTTCAGAGGTATCAATATCAGATCAAACTGCATTGTATGTCTACAATTCTAAAATATACCACTCCAGGCTGATTAACAGAATTAAATGATAGCTAATATAATAAGATTGGCTCTGAGGCATAGGCAGCATGGGGTAATTTCGGAAGTAGGCAGATCTGATTTAGAGAATCAGCACCATCATCTGCATTGTGATCCTGACAAGTTTTTACTTCAGTGAACTTAATGATTCTTCCTCAGTAAAACAACATCAGCTTCGTATGGATATTGTGGGTATTAAGAGAGAACTTTGAGGAAAGGCACATAAAAATTGTTCAATAGATGTTAGCCTTCTTCCATCCTGAGAATGTATGCAGAGTCTGAATAAATTATCAATATAATTATGTTATTAGATTAATTATATTTCTGTACATTTGTCCAACAGGCAACTCCAGAGTAGAAGAAAGAATGTTTGCTTCTTTGTTTGTTTTATATTTTTTGTTGCTGTTTTTACCTAATAGGCCAGAGTCTAAATTCTTCAATAGAGTTATCCTTCCACGTTTCTTAGCTTTTGACAATTCTTTATGATTTTAATGTTTAGGGCTGGGATGCAGGACTATTGTGCATAGGAATGGCCCAAAGGAAAACAATGGAAATTCAGCAATAACAATACAGAGGTTGTGGAGAAAGCTAATGAAGAAATTAAAGGCATTAGAATTATTCAGCTGACACAAGGTAGCTTGATGAGGTAAATTCTTCCCCATTCTTATTCTCCAACAGAACTTGGTTTGCTACCTATTTTAAAAAAGTTAGCAGTCACTCTAAAAACCATGTTTTTCAAAATTCCTTTGTTCTACTGACTCACAGAGAAGTAATGTATTAACTCTCTTCTTAGAGCGAGTGTATGAAGCTCAAAGGGCTCCAAATACCCCAAATAGAGGGTAACTCAGGACCTGAAGGGCAGTGTCTGTAACTGTTAAGATGTTGAAATGTGATGGGCTTATATTAGAAGAGTAGGAATTCAGTCTATATATAGGTAACAATAACTTGATGAAGTCACTTCACTGGCAGTTTTTACAAAAACTGGGATACTACAGACCAATAAATCTATAAGGTATTGAATTATAATACAACTTACCTTGATCTTAAAAGGTGAAGTATTAAGGTTTTTCTAGTTAGCTTTAGTTCATACAGCAATTCTTCTTCATATGTTTCCTGCAAAACAGTACCCATCATGTGACTTAAATGTGTGCTCATTTAGTGTGTGTTAGGGTGGGGAGTGGGGTGGGTGCAGGGGGAAATTAGACTTTATCAGTCTACCCAGCAGTCAAGCGGTCCAGCCAGGCAAAATGGTAAATATGGATTAGGCTGAATTTATGAGAGCCAATATATGGAGGATTTTGCTTGTAAGTTATTTTTTAATTAAATTTTTTTTAAGTTATTTATTTATTTATTGAGAGGGAGAGAGAATGATAGAGAGAGAGCATGAGAGGGAGGAGGGTCAGAGGGAGAAGCAGACTCCCTGCTGAGCAGGGAGCCCGATGTGGGACTCGATCCTGGGACTCCAGGATCATGACCTTAGCCGAAGGCAGTCGCTTAACCAACTGAGCCACCAAGGCGCCCCTTAATTAAATTTTTTGATGGGCATTTTTTCTAGTTATAAAATAAAATGAAATGAAAATATATATATTCTCTCCTCATCCAGAGATAACAAGTTATTGTATGTCCTTGCAATTCTGCACCCCACCCACAGATCTTTTGTTTATGTATCTTTTAACAGTTTGGGGTGTATTGTTTTGTAGTTTACTTTTTCACATAAAAATAAATCATGACCATGACCATTTTCCTATTCCAATAAATGTTCCTTTATAGTATGTATTTTATGGCTGAAAATCACAATGTGAATTTATTTAACCTATATCCAGATCAGAAATTTGATTTGGGGCATTCACTCTAATTAGACATCATTTCTTTGTTGGCAACATGGAAAAAAAATGTTTGATAAATGCTGCAAGAAAACCCTGAAGAAAGGAAGCACAAAGTTAGAATTTCACTAGAAATTTATAGTGGTTCTTATTTTCTTGCCTTTCATATTAACATTAATGAAATGATAACTTATTGTGACAAACTTTTCTTTAATGACCATTGGAAGTGATATTTTTCTTCTGTTTAGTTTGCTGTTTACATATTTGTATGTGAATTCCTAACTTATGTCCTTTAAATATTTTCTTTTCTGGTATTTTATTTCTTTGTGATTCATAAGAATTATTAATTTAAGGATTCAGTTACTGGTCATTCATTTAGCACATTTCTTTAGTTTATTGTTCACCCATGTATTCAATAGCTGTTATTTCAGGCACAGTGATAGTATGGAAAATACAATGGTGCACAAGATAAAGGTCACACCCATATGGAAACCACAGCTTGGCAAGAAGAAAATCAATCAAATGTAATTGAGTATTATAAGCATCATAATAGGAGAAATGCAGTGCCTGTGTGAGGGAGGAATCAGGGGCAGAGAACAGAGTATGCAAATGCCCTGAGGTATGAAGGAGCTCACATGTTTGAGAAACCCAGATAAGTTCAAGGTGGCTGGAGAATCAAGTGTAAGTTGAATAAATATGAGAAATGAAAGGTAGGAAGGAGCCAAATCATGTACAGACTAGTTAGTCACTCAAGAAGATTTGGACCTTATCCTAAGAGCAAAAAGAAGAAAAAGGTTTAGGCAAAAAATGCAGAAGTAAGTATGGTATTTTAGATGGCTTACTTATTACAGATAATGGATCAGCAAAAATCACAACTGTAGGCAGGAAAAGCATTTAAAGACTGTTGATGGGATATAGGTCACTTGGGCAGGGGACTGGCAGCAGGGAAAAAGGAGAGTAGATAATTTCAAAGGATATTTACATGTTAGAATGCATGAAGTTTAGTGATTTTTTTTGATGGAGGAGGCAGAAGAGAGGAGTAAAGAATTCCCTTAGGGGGCACCTGGGTGGCTCAGTCAGTTCAGCATCCCACTTTTGACTTTGGCTCAGGTCATGATCTAGTTGTGAGATTGAGCCCCATGTCTGGCTCTGCAGTAGGCATGGAGCCTGCTTAGGATTCTCTCTCTCCCTTTCTGCCCCCACCTCTCTCTCTCTCTCAAAAAAAAAAAAAAAAAAAAAAGAATTCCCTCAGGCTTCTGGTTTGTTTAAACTATGCTGTTGAAAGGAGGGTCTTCTGAAGAAGGGCAACTTTGAGGGAGGGAGAGGAGAGTTTTGTGTTTGTTGAATGTGAGTTGTGCATTAGGGCATGTGTTGACTGAAAGTTTAACATAAAATTGGGACTTCATTATAAACACATAATTCACAGTGGGCAGGCAAGAATCTAGGTGTTTACTTGGATAAGAAGGGTTGAATCTCGTTTACGATATGATGAACTTACATGCAGGTGTGTGTGAATAACAGTGGTATAATGGGACTTTGTAAAATTTGTATGTGTGATTATGGGTTTCATATTAGCTAATATTCAGACACTTGTTAATATTGTCAAATGTAACATTCTTGTTAATCTTGTCATTAATATTGTTTTTATATAAACAGAATTTTTAACTTTATGTTTTATTTTAGAATTTTATTTAATTTTAAAATTTGTTTTTATTTAGAATCATTTTAGATTTAGAGAAAAGTTGGAAAGATAATACAGAGCGTTCCCATGTACCCCACAACTCAGAGTTCCATATTGTTAACATCTTACATTACTATGGTGTACTTGTCACATCTCATGAACCAAGATTGACATTATCAATTAAAGTATACACTTATCCAGATTTCCTTAGTTTTTGTCTAATGTCTTTTCACTGTCTTAGGATCCCATCCAGGACACCACATTACATTTAGTTGTCATGCCTCCTTAGACTCTTCTACACTATGACAATTTCTCAGACTTCCCTTCTTTTTTGACAATCTTGACAGTTTTAAGGAGTACTGATCAAGTATTTTATAGGTTCCTCCTTAATTAAGTTTTTTCCAATATTTTTCTCATTCCCAGCCTGGAATTGTGGATATTTGAGAGAAAAGAACAAAATAAAGTGCCATTTTCAACATATCATATTAAGAGTACATACTATCAACATGACTTATTATTAATGATGATTACTGGTTACCTGGCTGAGGTAGCATTAGTCAGCCTTTCTCCACTGTAAGGTTACACTCTTCCACATTCTACTGGTCCCCTCTTCCACATTCTACTCTTTGGAAGGGTCTATGCACAGGCCGTGCTTAAAGGGTGGGGAGTTATGCTCCACCTTCTGGGAAGGGGAGGGTCTATGTCAATTTTTTAATTCTTATGTATGGGAGATTTGTCTATTCTCCCCCATTTATTTATTTATTCAATTATTTATACCAGTATGAGTTCATAGATATTAATTTATACTTTATTATAGTCCTAAACTACATTATTAATTGTGTTGCTCAAATTGTCCCTTCTTTGGCTATTGGGAGCTCCTTCATTTGGCTCCTTTGTTCTTTTGACATACTCCCATCAATGCAAGTTTGGGTTGTTTGTTTGCTTGAGAACTTCCTTACTTTCTGGTAGTATAAGATGCTCCAAATTCATCTTGTATATTTCCTGCCCCAGTCAAGACTCATCTTGTATATTCATAATGGAACTGATGTCTTGATTTGCACAATGGTGATAGAGGGCTGGTTTTGCCTTCTTAGATGAGTACCGAATTTCAACCAATAAAAGTTTTTTTTTAATTGAAGTATAGTTGATATACAATGTTATATTAATAAAAAGTTTAAGAAGGAATAAAGGATAAAGGAATTGGAGATCAAGAGAAAACATTATTTGTAAGGAGATTATCACAGAAAAATGGTTAGACATTATCTCCAAATGGCAGCAGATGAAGAGTTGCTTTTTCATTATCTTAAGCCATGGGAAAGACATCTCAGTGGGATAATTTGGAAAGTTGAGATGTGTCTTGCTTATGACTGAGGAACCTAACAAATGAGAGCCTGGAAGGCTGTTTCCCCTAATGGTGGAGGGAAGAAAAGTGGATGCATTGGGAAAAATTTGCCCTCTCAAAGAGTACGGGAGCAAAGTGACAATCAGTATTCTCCATGGACCAAGTTGGAAAGCTCAGGCGCAAAATCAAAGTGCCTGGTAATAAACATCTAAGAACAGTCCTTGAATGTGTTCTATAGTAGTGGAATTGAAAATTACCTTATTTTGAAGCTTGTTTCCTATTATATGTATTACATATTGTCTGCATAAATATTTGTTTCTTTTGAAAATAAAATTGTAAATGTTTATACTTTAACACCTGAATAAACACTATTCTAAGCAACAGGCCAAATGTGTTCCTGTGAAAGTTGTCCAGCTTTGCTGCCAAATATGTAAGGCAAGTAAACCTGCATATTACATCACTGGGAAAGAAAATGCTCAGAGATTATATTCCATAGGCACCAGCTCAGAACAAATGAGGTTGCCTTAAATCAGCCTGGAAAGCTGTTAGTGAAAATCCTCACATGAACTGGAAAGTTTTATATGGCACCCTCTAATTTTACTCCATCTTGTTTCCTAAGCCATCAAAAGGGTGCTTCCTCCCCAACCTCCCCCTCCCGCCCCACCCCAAGTGCATGCTATAAACTGAGTGAGAGTTCTCAGAAAATTTGAGACTCTTCTCTTGTTTGCTTCTGACTGGAGCCAGAGGTTGCTTTCTACATATCTTGTGAAAATAATACATCATATTTATTAAATCAAAACCTGTACCTGTATGTCATAATCATGGATGTGCCAAACATTTCGCTTCTGCATCAGAGGAAGCCTTTTCGGATAAACCACTTCTTGACCTTCTACTCCAAGGATTACCTTTTCTAAAAGGAAACATTTAAGGGAGAAAATACATCTGGCATTAACATTCACACACAGTGACTGGATAACAATTATTCTCATAGGGTTCATGTACAGCCATGATTAGCAGCCATGTACAACATCATTGTGAAGTAGCACCCCCACGTAACAGCTAAGGAAACTGAGACTGATATTTCTTTTTTTTTTTTTTTTAAGATTTTATTTATTTGTGAGAGAGAGAATGAGAGACAGAGAGCATGAGAGGGAGGAGGGTCAGAGGGAGAAGCAGACTTCCTGCTGAGCAGAGAGCCTGATGTGGGACTCGATCCCGGGACTCCAGGATCATGACCTGAGCCGAAGGCAGTCGCTTAACCAACTGAGCCACCCAGGCGCCCGAGACTGATATTTCCAAATGAGGAAGATGTAAGCAAAATTGGAAAACAAGGGGCGCCTGGGTGGCTCAGTCGGTTAAGTGGCTGCCTTCGGCTCGGGTCATGATCCCAGGGTCCTGGGATCGAGCTCTGCGTTGGGCTCCCTGCTCAGCGGAGAGCCTGCTTCTCCCTTTCCCTCTGCCTGCCACTTGCCTACTTGTGCTATCTATCTGTCAAATAAAAATTTTAAAAAAATCTAAAAAAAAAAAATTGGAAAACAGACCAAAAAATTAGGTCTTTAGCTTCTTCCAGGTTTCCACTTTGTCCTGCAGTTACCACCTTCATCATCTTAATCTCATGCCTGTCTCTGGATTCTGCCACCTGTCAAAACCTGCACTGGAAGGGATTGTTTCAGTGTAAATTATTGATTTTATCTCCCAGGTACATTTGTATTTGACATCTTAACTCTCCTAGCTAAATACAAGACTCTCCCTTGTTAAAAGGATTTAGGTACTCTTGAATCAGTGCTTCTTCACAAGTGATGGTTATCTGGGGGTGAGCCCTGCTTATCTCACTGAAGAGTGATATAGAACAAAGACCATAGGATTTTAGAATCTGCTATTATTTGAGTCAAAATTTTACCAGTTTATTAGCAGTATGGCCATAAATACTGTATCTATTCTCTCTCATCTGTAGATATTATTCTCAATTACTTTATCTATAAAGTGGAGATAATAAGATTATATACATGCTAATGTACACAGTGGCTCATGGCTAGCGCAGTGTCTCTATGCTGCAGATACTCAGAAATGTCCACTCCTTCTTCCTTCTCACCATAAATCAGAGTAAGACCGCTAAAGTATTTCATAGAATCATAGAATCTCAATATTAGCCATAACTAGTCCAAGTCCTATACTACGTCCTAGCAAAATCATCAATGGGTTTTAATGTCTTTTATCATTTATCATTTAAACTGTGTGACTAAAGAGACATTACCTCATAGCCTTAGTAAGAAAACCCTGACGAAAAGATTAAGACATACCTTTAATCCAAGAAATGAGTACGATCATGAAAAGCAAACTCCTGGGAAACATTCTGAATGATTCTGGTGGGAGAAGGGGCACAGGTGCTTGAGAAAAGATGTGTGTGGCTCTCTGCCCTTGCTTCCACAGCAGGGTCAAAGAATCCAACAGATAGATAGGCAGTTTTGATCCAGCACAAGGAAGTGTTCCTTGCTTGTGTTGCATCATTTGTGAGGTGCTTGAGGCTAAAACCTGGAGGGCGGACATCATGTACCAATTAAAGGCACCACTGACGTGCTGTGGTGGAGGTGGGCTGGGCAGAGATCCCTACTTCATGCCTGATATAAATATAATTCTAGATGTACTAAAAATTCAAAAGTGAAAAAAATCGTGTATGTCTTAGAAAAAATATTGAAGAATGTTTATAGAAACTGGTTGAAGAAAGTGCATGTGAAGAATGCCATGTGTAGAAACTATAAAGGAAAATTTGATAAAAACTAGATAGAAATACTGAGAACTTTTTTTTTTTTCTAGCTAAATAAAAGCCCGTGCCATGTGGGGCATGGGCATAATGGTCTTTCAAGAGTCATAAAAACACAAGATATTCATCCACCCTCCAGCCCCACCCCGATAAAAGAACCCAGAGTCCTGAGAATAGGGAAAATAACTTGATTTCTCCCCAAAGTTTTATTGAGACCTGACATATCATGCTGTATAAATTTAAGGTGTGTGGCATGAAGACTTTACTTACTCATATTGTTAAGTTGTATCACAGTAAGTTTAGTTAAAATCCATTATCTCCTACAGATACAAAAAAAAGAAGGAAAAGAAAATGATTTTTTTCTTTGTGATGAGAACTCTTAGGATCTGCTCTCTTAATTTTCAATCCATAGTACATATTTATCTTATCTTTATCTTATAAACTATAACTTTGCACCTTTTGACCACCTTCATCCAAACTTATTTATGAAAACATATTTATGCCATAAATCACATATAAACTTAAATTAAAAGACAAACTCCAGAAAGGTAAGCAACATATATAATAAAAGGTAAAGGTAAATATCTTTATAATATAGAACTCTTTCAAATCAATACAAAAAATAAAACATTAATAGGCAAATGTGCAAATAACCTGTATAAGCCTATCTATATGCCTGGGATCTCTTATTATTTTAGAAGAGATATCCTTTTGCCAGTACAATCCCTTCTCTGTGTTTGGTATTCTGTCTTCCCCTCTACCTCACATTATTGATTATCCCTCTAATATTCTCATAAACTGAAAAAATCTATGATAACTAGAAGCTTTTGTTTGATATTTAAATACATTCAAGTCTCTCCCTTTCAAAAAATCCTACCCTCAAATCCATATTCCACAGACCCCTTCCATCACCTTATTTTTCATTCTCTTCTCAGTTAAACTTTTCACAAAGTTCATCTTTACTTCTTGTGGCAATTTTCTCCCCTCCAGCTCATTCTAACACATTGTACTCTGGCATCTGCCTTCATTATTCTGCTGATATAACTGATTAATCTTGCCAATAATTTCACAATTTCTATATTCAATGGATATTTTGATTCTTTATGTTACTTGCCCTCTTAATAACATTTGGCATTGTTGACCATACTGTCCCCCTTGAAATATTCTATTTAGTTCCCTTGACACAGTCTTCCTAACATTTTCCTAGCTCTCTGGCTACTTGTGGGCATATATTCTTTTATCCAACTTTTAAATTTTGGAGTTCCTCAAGGTATTATCCTCCACTGTCTTCTCTTCCAACTCTATGCTTGTTCCAAAGCCATCTCATCTTCAGTTATGGTTTAATTATCATCCCTCTACTATGCCTCACATTTATACTTCTAGCCACCTGAGTTATAGACCTTTACAGCCAACTCTCAACATCTTCATTGGGAGGGCTCAAAGCCCCTGAAAACTCAGAAGGTGCACAACTTGTTCTCTGCTTTCATTAATGATGTCAATATCCATTCCACATGGCAAATCTGAAACCCAGTAGTCATCATTGATATCCCTCATAATCAACCCATCACTAAGTATGTTTATTTTGCCTTCTAAAAAATACCCTGACTTCTTTTCTCTAGCTTTTCTGCCTCCATCTTACTTAGTCCAAGTTCCTATAGACTCTCCTTTGGCTACACTCCAACAAGTGTGATCTTTTCAAAATACAAATCTGATCATGTCATGTGCCTGTTGAAAATGCTTCAATAGTTTGTCATTGGTGTCAGAATTAAGATTCACTGGCTTGAAAACCTCAAAAGATAAATTGTCTGCTACTTTTTAACTCTGTGTCTTTTGGCAAAGTATGAAATATTTCTGTACTCCCATTTTCTCATCTATAAAATGGGCATTGGGCATAATAACATGTATCTCATAGGGATAGTATGAGTATTAAATGAATCTGTGCTGAAAGGCAATCTTACTTTCCACAGTTCATTTACTCACCAATTCTCTTAGTTGACTATTTCATATTTTCTCTTTCTCTCCTCAAATCTCAAATCTCCCTTTATTTACTCTTAGTTGATCACCATGCTTTCTACTTCATTGAAAAACAGAGAAATCACCAGAAGAAAGAAATCTCACCTTCTCCCATGATCACATCTACCACACTACCAAGATGTGTGCCATACAGACTAGTTCTCTCCTGTTTCTATGGATGGACTGCCCATGCCTATAAGGTCTAGCCACCATTAATATATTGGATTCCATTCCTTCTTCCCCCTCCAATGTCATCACTCTGGCAACTGTTCTCTTCGATACTCCATCATCTGAATTGTATATTTGCAAACATGCTGTCATTTATGTCCATCTTTTAAAGAAGTACCTCTCCTTTTACATCACTGTCTCCTCCACCCACCTACTATCCCATTATTGACTTCTTTTAATAGCACAGATTCTTGAAAGATGAATGTACAGTTTGTCTGGGGTTCCTCTCTCCCAATTTGCTCTTGCTAAATCCAGTGGTCAATTCTCAATCCCTACTAACTTGACCTTTTAGCAGCATTTGACACAATCACTTCTACCTTTTGAAGAGTTTATCCAATGGTATACCATGGATCAACTCTGTGTTTATTCAGTGCTTCTTCTTAGTTGCTTTTGTTGGATCCTTCTTCTCTTTCCAGTGTTTAAATATTCCAGATTCCCAGGGCTCAACTCTTAGCACTTGTCTCTCTATATAGTCACTAACAAAGTAGTTCTCACCTAATCTCATGGTTTTAAATATCATCTGTGACATGATGGCTGCCAAATTTATATATCTAATCCAAACGTTGTTGAATTTCAGGCTCATAGAAACAACTCTCCTTTCAACATCTTCACTTGAATATTTTTTTTTTTAAGATTTTATTTATTTATTTGACAGAGAGAGACACAGCGAGAGGGGAACACAAGCAGGGGGAGGGGGAGAGGGAGAAGCAGGCTTCCCGCGGAGCTGGGAGCCTGATGCGGGGCTCGATCCCAGGACCCTGAGATCATGACCTGAGCCGAAGGCAGACGCTTAACGACTGAGCCACCCAGGCACCCCTTCACTTGAATATTTAATAGATATCTCGAACACAAGGACAAATCTAGATTTCTGATCTTCCTCTTCAAACCTGGTATTTCCACATTCTTTCCTATTTTAGGATATTACAACTCCATCTTTTCAGTTACCCAGAAGTCATCTTTGATTCCTCTCTTTCCCCCATTTTGCATGTTATCCATAACAAATCCAGCTGTCTATTTTTAGAAGACATCAAGAATCTGACCACCCCTAACCACATTTACTGCTGCTTTGCTGATCCAACATGTTATCATCTCTAGCCTAGTTTATTAAAATAGCCTCTTAATTGACCTTACTGGTTTTCTCTTAGTCCCTCATTGTATTGTCTGCAGTGTATTGTCTACACATCATCCAGAATGATCTCACTAATACACATCACATTATGTGATTCTTCTGCTGTAACCTTTCCAGTGGCTTCCCATCTCAGAGTAGTAGCTGAAGACCTGTGATAGCCTCTAGGATCTATATGATTTAGCTTGATGCTCTCTGGCTTCATACTTTCTACTCTCCTGTCACCCACTCAGATCCTGTCACCATGTGTCCTTGCTCTTTATTGAACATGCCAAACATATTCTGCTTTGCTTATTGTTTGTTCATTCTTTCAGCCACGTGTCTCTCTTCCTCTCTTCCTTCAGATCCCTACTCAAAAATCATCATGTTAGTGAGGTCTTCTCCAAAAACTCTAGGCAAAGTAGACATGCTCACCTCCATCCTGGTACCTCTGCTGCCCTTTGTTGCCTTACATTTGGTGTCATCTGGAATGCTATTTATTTATTTATATTTCTTTTTAAATTTAAATTCAATTAGCCAACATATTACATCATTAGGTTTTGATATAATGTTCATGATACATCAGTTGCGTATAACACCCAGTGCTCATCACATCATTTGCCCTCCTTAATGCCCATCACCCAGTTACCCCATATCCCCACCCACCTTCCTATCTGCAACCTTCAGTTTGTCTCCTGGAGTCAAGACTCTCTCTGGTTTGTCTCCCTCTCTGATTTCTTCCCATTCAGTTTTCTCTCCTTTCCCCTATTACTATTCCTTAAATCCCACATATGAGTGAAACCATATGATAATTGTCCTTCTCTGATTGACTTATTTCACTTGGCAATATGCTAAATTAAATATTTATTTATATTTCAACTGCCTGCCTCTCTTCATTGAAATGTATCCTCCATGAGGATTTTTGGCAGTTCTATTCACTGCTGTATCTTCAGGGCCTAGAACATTAGGTTGCTAAATGATTTTTATTAAATGAATATATTAATACATTTAAGAAGTTGGACAATGTCTGGTAATAGTAAGCACCTAATAAAACTAAACTATATTTATTTTAACTTTTAAATATGAGGAGGTAGAGTAGAGGAAATAAGGGTATACATTCAAATCCAGACCACCTGGGTTCAGTTCTCAGCACTTACAATTTCTACCTGCAAACCTGGGACAATATCTGATCTCTCTGTGCCTCAGTTTTCTCATTTCCCAAAATGAGACTAAACTTATAGCATT